TGCTGGGTCTGGGACTTGAACCACGGTCGACTACATGGGAGTCCAGCGACATAGCCATTACGCTAACTGGTCCCATCAATCTATTATTATTAAAGGCCACACTTTATTCACATTTTTCACTTTCTACCTTATGCTCTGATTCTGTCCCAGGATCCCCTCTCATATTCCACGTGACGTTATTCCTCCCAGCTCCTTGGGCTGCTTTGTGACTCATAGTCCTTCAGGTTTTCTCGTTTTCCATGTCCTGCACACTTCTGAAGAGAGCTGGTTAGGGATTTGTAGATGCTCCACCCTTGAGATTTGTCTGAGCACACACTGGCACCCCACCACTGTTGGTGCTGACCTCAACCAGCCCCTGGGGTGGTGTCTGTCAGCTTTCTCCTGTGAAATCACCCTTCCCTCTTCTCTATATGGTGTTTACTGGAAGGAAGCCACTAGGCATGGATGTGTGTTTTCATCATAATTTTTTCTGCCAGGTGGCAGTAAAGACTCCATCAACCTGAGTATATTACAGACATTTGTGACAGATGAATATATTCTCTTGAGTAGAGGATGCTTTTCTCAACCTTGTGGAAGGCATTTGTCCTGGGGACATGCATCTGTCCAAGAAGAATTCTAAGGACAGTTTTCATATGAATTATGAGGGCCTTGAAAACCAAAACCCCAACAGATCAGGCCTGCAAAATAGTCCCCTGGCATGATTCTGATGGCAAAATCTCTTATTATTACTATCATTATTGCTGTTATTGCAAGGACACATGGACATATGTGCCTCGTTGTAAAAAATGCCATGAAAAAAGTCTCATTACTGCATCCACTCATCCCAGTCATCTCCTGTAAGTAATTGCTGTTAACACTTTAGTAAATCTATTTCTAGACTTTTAAAAGTTGTTGGGGCCAGCAGATGGAGTAATGGCTACGTCTCTGGACTCCTGTGTAGTCAACCATGGTTCGAGTCCCAGACCCAGTGACTTAAACTCACGCCAGGTGCGTGTGCGTGCGTGCCCAAGATCCTGAGAAGACAATGGAGGAGAAGGGATTGTGGCATGGCCATCCCCTCTGGGGGGTGATTTCTCACTTTCTGTCTCTCTGTCTCTCTCTGTCTTTCTGGTGAGCGCACATGTCCTATAGCAAAAACCTCTCAAAAAAAAATGTTGTACATATTGGGGGCCAATAGGTGGCATGATGGTTAAGACTCTGAACTCTCACATGACTTACTGCAGTTTGAGTCCCCAATCTGATGGCTCAAAACAGGTCAGGCATGCGTGTGCGTGCATGCCCAAAATCCTTTGAGCAGAATGGAGGAGAAGGGATTGTGTCATGGCCGTCCCCCTGGGGGTGATTTCTCACTTTCCCCCTCACTTTCTCTCTGTCTCTGTGGCAAACACATGTGCCCCATGGCAAAAAACTTTAAAAAGAAAAGTAAAACTGTATATATTATATGATATCTTAAATATACATTTATACTTACATACATGTAATTTGATTTGTATCTATTAAATATTAAAATGCTAATATTGAATATATTATTAAATATATACTACTATCCTATTAAATATATATTCTATTAAGTCAAATCTATAAATGTATAAATTTGTATAATTAAAAGTGTAAAATATACAAAATAATTATATTAATGCTTTATTAATATTTAACATGTATTAATATATTAAATATAGTAAGGTTCCATTTTTATATTGTTCATAATTTTGTGTATTGCTGATTTTGCCAGATTTGTCTTAGATTTCTAAGTACACATAGATCTGCTTTATCTATTTATCTACTTTTTATTTATTTATTTATTTTTGGTAGAGGGCATGTGGACTTGCCTGAAGAGACTGAGAGGCAAAAGAGAGAGGGAGAAAGAGAAACCGCCCCCCAGTGGGTCACGGTCACGGCACAATTCCTTCTCTGTTTCTCTGTGCTGTTAGGATTCTGGGCACATGAGCCCGGGATCTTTTTCGAGCCCAGGGCCTGCAATTTGAACCACACAGTTAGCTTTGTGGGATCCAGCTCCCTTAACCCTAGGCCACAGGATTGGCCTTATTTTTATTTTTAATTGTAATAAAATATGCCTAACATAAAATTTGCCTTTTTAATCATTTTTAAGTGTACAAGGCAGAAGTACTAAGGACATTTACATTGTTGTACAAACCATCTCTGTAACTCTTTTCATCTTGCAAAACTGAAACTGTACTTACTAAATCTTCATTATCCATTCTTCGCAGCCCCTGGAAAACACCATGCTACTTTCTTTTTAAAAAAATTATTTTACTTAGCTTTATTTATTTATGTATTTATTTATTCATTTTAATTTGACCAGAGAGGGACAGAGAGAGAGAGAGAGAGAGAAAATGAGAAAGCAAGTCACCAGGCCTGGGACTCGAACCACAGTCCACCATGTGGGAGTTCAGTGCTCTCAACCACCATGCCACCTGCTGGCCCCACACCATGAGACTCTCTGTCTCTTGTGGATTTGGCTACTCCAGGTACCTCATGTAAGTGGAATCACGCAGTGCTTATCTTTTTGTGAATGGCTTCATTCACTTGGCATCACGTCTTCAAGGTTATCCAAGGTTGTAGACTGTGTCAGAATGGCTTTTCTATTTTTTTTGGAGAGTTTTTTTTTTTTTTTTTTTTTTGCTATAGGGCGCGTGCCCTTGCCAGACAGACAGAGACATAGAGACAGAAAGCGAGAAATCACCCCCCAGGGGGGATGATCACGCTGCAATCCTTTCTCCTCCATTCTCCTCTCGGGATCCTGGGCATGCACACACACGCGCCCAGTGTGTTTTAGACCCGGGTCCCAGACCCGGTGGCTTAAAACTCTCGCCAGGCGTGTGTGCGTGCGTGCCCAAGATCCCGAGAGGAGAATGGAGGAGAAAGGATTGCAGCGTGATCATCCCCCCTGGGGGGTGATTTCTCGCTTTCTGTCTCTATGTCTCTCTCTGTCTGTCTGGCGAGTGCACGTGCCCTATAGCGAAAACCTCTCCAAAAAAAAAAAAAAAATGTAGAATTTGGGGTCTGGGGTAAGGCTGGATGGATCTAGCTGCATCAGTTCTCCTGCAGTCTCATCTTTTACCCAGCTTCCCATCTGTCTCAGCATTTTCCGACTTTTTACCTGTGTGCCTGCATAGTGGATGACGATTTTTCCTGTGGATGAGCCTTCTCCATGCAGCTGGGAAAGCAGGCCAACAGCACTGCTGGGCTGACACCCTATTTCCGCCAACATCTGATCATGACCACTTAAGTAATTTCTGCGAAGACTCAGGCTTTCTCTGCAGCTCTCCTCTTCTGAGCCCTCACCAGAATAGCCCGTTATGGTCTGACCTCTACTCTTTCCTCCACCCAGTTCCAACGTTACTTTCACATTTCGAGGATTCGTTATAGCAACACCCTACTCCCAGTACCAGTGTATGATCTTTGTAAATTACCCAGTGCAGGTATTTTGTTACATTGCGCAGGTCGAGTTATTTTTTAGCGGCAAAAAAAGCCACTAGACCTCAGCCTGCATGAGGCCATTGGAACTGGACTCTGACGTAGGCCCGAGTGTCCCGCTCACCTCTCATGGTCTTAGCTGCCTTTGCGCATTCTTTCTGCTTCCACGATACAGAAGCCAGCAAGGGCATAGCTAGTGCAGACAAGGTGAGTGCACATCCAGGGCCAGGCTGCACACACGTGTCCCGTGTTTTTCAAGCCACCAGGTCCAGGACTTGAGTCACAGAGTCAGCCATGTGGGATCCAATGCCTTAACCACCGTGCCATCTGTTAGCTCATTTTCATACACTTTTTATGAGTGTGTTTTTCAGCTAATGACTTTGTGCTTTTTGAGTCTTTATAGGACTTGCCGTATATGATTTGGCCCAATAGGGAAGAAAGCTCTCACTTTATGACTGCACGAATTACCTAGTGAGTCATCTAGTTGTCATGAGTCTGGAGAGGCTACTGGAAAATGAGAATAATACTTCAGTGGGTTATCATAAGGTACACATACTCGTGCAACTCACTTGGGGTGCACAGCATGGGACCTGGCACATTACGAGGGCTCGATCCAGGCAGCTACCATTACTGTTCTTCAGTAGAGAAGTCTAGGCCGTTTTAGGGCCTATTATTTCACAAAGTGGAGTGGGCGCAGATTGGATGACTTTTTATCACCAAATGAGGCTAAGCAAGCTGGGAGGAAACTTCGAGGTTCTCACTTTGCAGAAAAGGAATCTGAGGCTCAAAGAGGCTGAGAATTAGCAAAGGAACACAGTAAGTAATTAGTTTCTGCTAGAAGCCAATTCTTCCAACTTCTTGCCTAGTGTTTTATCTGTCATACTGTGAAAACTTGCAGAATCTTAGGAATTCAGAGGCTTGAGGCTATTTTTTTTAAAGAATTATTTATTATTATTATTTTTTTTTTTCACATGAGTTTTGATAGGACTCAAAGCGCGGTTGGCCATGTGGGAATTCCAGTGCCTTAACTACCACACCACCTACCCAAGGTCTCAGGGTTCATGAAAAGCAGAGTAGGAATTCAGATCCAGGTCTGTCTGACTATGTGAAATTTCAGCCACATAGGGTTGCCTCTCTTGAGAACCCACAGAAATGCATTTATCGCTGAGCTGGTGATCTGTGAAAGAAAGAGAAGGTAATCTGGTACTCAAACAGTGGAGCGGGCTGATGACTTCTGGATAAATGTACACCTCACCTTTGTATAAGCCATCTGTGAAAATTACTTTCATCCTTATTTTATTCTCTCTTGTAGAGAGACAAAGAGAGAGAGGGAAAGTGAGAAATCACCCCCAGAGAGGATGGCCATGCCTTCTCCATTCTCCTCTTAGGATTTTGGGCATGCACACACGTGTCCAGTTTTTCAAGCCACCAGTTCTAGGACTTGAACCACAGAGTCAGCCATGTGGGACCCAGCACCTTAACCACCACACCATCTGTTTGTTCATCTTTCATATACTTTATGTTTGTCAGTTAATAACTTTGTGCCTTTTGAATCGTTTTAGGACTTGCTGTATATGATTTGGCCCAATAGGGAAAGCTCTCACTTGACGACTGTGGGTAAGTGTTCTCCTGGTTGGTTTTCATTGGTTTGACCCTGAATGGGAATCAGAACCCTAAAGCTCTCTTCGTTTCACCTCCCTCACACGCTGTTGATCTTCTCAGTATTGCTCTACCTTGGTCAGATAGGTTATTCCTTACCTTACAGAGCTAGAGCAGAGGGATTCCCTCCAGTAGCTGGCTGGAGCTTTTGTGCATGGTGTAGGGCTTAAGACAGAGAGTCTTCCTTGAAGGAGTCTGATGAATAAAACTCAGAGTGCATGTCAGTTCCCTGTGGTTATGTTAACAAATTTTCACAAACTTAGTGGCTTAAAACAACACGAGTGTATTCTCTTATAGTTCTGGAGGGCAAAAGTCCAAAATTCATCTAAGTGAGCCAAAGGCAAAGGGTCAGGACAGCCGTGTTCTCACTCCAGTGAAGAGTCTATTTCCTTGCCTTTTCAGATTCTCCAGCTGTGTTAACTACAGTCCTTAGCTGCTGCCCCTTTCTCTATCGTCAGAACCAGCAGCACAACAGCTTGCTTCTGTGGTCACATGGCCAGGTAGCTCCCATTACTATTTTTCAGTAGTGAAGTCCAGGCTTCAGATCTCTTCCTTCTTCCCTTAAAAGGACAGCTGTCATTACTTTTAGGACCCTCTTGGACCACCTAGGTTATCTCTCCATCCCAAGGCCCTTAATTTAATTACACCTGCAAAGTCCCTATTATCTTAAATAATATTCACAAGCTTTCGGGATTATGGCCTGGGCATCTTTGAAGGCCGTTATTCAGCCTGCCACATCCAGTGACAGAAATTCAATCGTCACTTAAGTAAAAGGGCTCATGAACTGCTGGGTCCAGTAGCATGGCGTTCTCGAGGCTCCATTGGTCTTCCATCTTGTCTCTGCTCTCCTCTCTGGGCATCCTCTAGAGAGAGGTCCTTCCATGAAGGGAAGGATCTTGTTTGTGTCTTCATTAGAGTTTAGGACCAGGAAAAGCCAGTGGTGTGTAAACACATATAACAGAGATGTAGTCCTAAAGAATAAATATGGCCAGGGACCAGTAGATGGTGTAATGGTTACATCACTGGACTCTCACAAGGCTAACCGCCATTCAAGTCCAAGACCAGGAAGCTTGAAATTCATGTTGGGCATAAATGTGTGCATGCCCAACATCCTGAGAGAAGAATGGAAGGGATTATGGCGTGGCCATCTTCCCAGGGAGTGATTTCTTGGTTTCTATCTCTCTGTCTCTCTGGCAAGCACACATGCTCTTTAGCAAAAATATCTCTTAAGGCTTGCTTCTGTGGTCACATGGCCAGGTAGCTCCCATTACTATTTTTCAGTAGTGAAGTCCAGGCTTCAGATCTCTTCCTTCTTCCCTTAAAAGGACAGCTGTCATTACTTTTAGGACCCTCTTGGACCACCTAGGTTATCTCTCCATCCCAAGGCCCTTAATTTAATTACACCTGCAAAGTCCCTATTATCTTAAATAATATTCACAAGCTTTCGGGATTATGGCCTGGGCATCTTTGAAGGCCGTTATTCAGCCTGCCACATCCAGTGACAGAAATTCAATCGTCACTTAAGTAAAAGGGCTCATGAACTGCTGGGTCCAGTAGCATGGCGTTCTCGAGGCTCCATTGGTCTTCCATCTTGTCTCTGCTCTCCTCTCTGGGCATCCTCTAGAGAGAGGTCCTTCCATGAAGGGAAGGATCTTGTTTGTGTCTTCATTAGAGTTTAGGACCAGGAAAAGCCAGTGGTGTGTAAACACATATAACAGAGATGTAGTCCTAAAGAATAAATATGGCCAGGGACCAGTAGATGGTGTAATGGTTACATCACTGGACTCTCACAAGGCTAACCGCCATTCAAGTCCAAGACCAGGAAGCTTGAAATTCATGTTGGGCATAAATGTGTGCATGCCCAACATCCTGAGAGAAGAATGGAAGGGATTATGGCGTGGCCATCTTCCCAGGGAGTGATTTCTTGGTTTCTATCTCTCTGTCTCTCTGGCAAGCACACATGCTCTTTAGCAAAAATATCTCTTAAGAAAAAAAAAAATAGGTATGGCCTTAAGATCTTGTGTCCAGCAGCTCTGCCAGACAAGCATCTGTCCCTTAGCCTGAGGACCACATGGGGGCAGGGTGTTGGGTGTCCAGTCTGACTTGCACCCCCTGAAGCTTTCAAACTTCCCTGCCTCTCTGGGCCAGCAGCTGACCTGGTGGGGTGCCTACATCATGGTATCCACGTCAAGGCTGTCAGTTCTTCCATGCTGAGTTCTCCTTGGAATAATTTTGCAGGAGGGACATTTATCCCATCCCAACCTCATGACTGAATAAACCACAGATACTATTCAAGGAAAATAGACTTTAATTTTATCTAGGATCTAGTCCCATGTCTTTTTCCTAACATTTTAATTTTTTTGTACATGCCTTTTGAACTTTATGCAATATTTCAAAAGTGCTTCTAAAGACCTTGCTATCAGTGTACTGGATAAAAAAAGACGGAAACAATTCAATTGAGTCACACTATAGTTTGTATTTGGACTCAAGGCAAATGCTGAAGAAGGCACACAATTCTACAGTCTAGGTCATTTAAAAATATAGATTTCTAACTTAAGTGTTCGATACTTCTAAGTGCTTTGCTATGTGGGTAGCATTTAATTAGCAACTCAGACCACCCTGCCTGATTGGTGTTTTGATTTGTGTTTGTTTTGTTTTAAATTATTTTATTTAACTTTATTTATTTATTTATTTATTTTTAATTTGACCAGAGATTGACAGAAAGAGAAAATAAGAAAAGCAAGCTGCCAGATCCAGGACTCAAACCACAGTTGGCCATGTGGGAGTCCAGTGCCCTTAACCACCATTCCACCTGCCAGCCCCCTGATTGGTGTTTTAATGACATTCTTCCCAGTGATGGGAACTGAGGCTCAGAGAGCTCAGCTGACCTGTTCAGGGTCCTACATATCAGCAACTGAGCGACATCCTCTCAGGTACTCCCGACAGCCCAACCAGTAACTTCCAGGTAGCTCCCATTACTATTTTTCAGTAGTGAAGTCCAGGCTTCAGATCTCTTCCTTCTTCCCTTAAAAGGACAGCTGTCATTACTTTTAGGACCCTCTTGGACCACCTAGGTTATCTCTCCATCCCAAGGCCCTTAATTTAATTACACCTGCAAAGTCCCTATTATCTTAAATAATATTCACAAGCTTTCGGGATTATGGCCTGGGCATCTTTGAAGGCCGTTATTCAGCCTGCCACATCCAGTGACAGAAATTCAATCGTCACTTAAGTAAAAGGGCTCATGAACTGCTGGGTCCAGTAGCATGGCGTTCTCGAGGCTCCATTGGTCTTCCATCTTGTCTCTGCTCTCCTCTCTGGGCATCCTCTAGAGAGAGGTCCTTCCATGAAGGGAAGGATCTTGTTTGTGTCTTCATTAGAGTTTAGGACCAGGAAAAGCCAGTGGTGTGTAAACACATATAACAGAGATGTAGTCCTAAAGAATAAATATGGCCAGGGACCAGTAGATGGTGTAATGGTTACATCACTGGACTCTCACAAGGCTAACCGCCATTCAAGTCCAAGACCAGGAAGCTTGAAATTCATGTTGGGCATAAATGTGTGCATGCCCAACATCCTGAGAGAAGAATGGAAGGGATTATGGCGTGGCCATCTTCCCAGGGAGTGATTTCTTGGTTTCTATCTCTCTGTCTCTCTGGCAAGCACACATGCTCTTTAGCAAAAATATCTCTTAAGAAAAAAAAAAATAGGTATGGCCTTAAGATCTTGTGTCCAGCAGCTCTGCCAGACAAGCATCTGTCCCTTAGCCTGAGGACCACATGGGGGCAGGGTGTTGGGTGTCCAGTCTGACTTGCACCCCCTGAAGCTTTCAAACTTCCCTGCCTCTCTGGGCCAGCAGCTGACCTGGTGGGGTGCCTACATCATGGTATCCACGTCAAGGCTGTCAGTTCTTCCATGCTGAGTTCTCCTTGGAATAATTTTGCAGGAGGGACATTTATCCCATCCCAACCTCATGACTGAATAAACCACAGATACTATTCAAGGAAAATAGACTTTAATTTTATCTAGGATCTAGTCCCATGTCTTTTTCCTAACATTTTAATTTTTTTGTACATGCCTTTTGAACTTTATGCAATATTTCAAAAGTGCTTCTAAAGACCTTGCTATCAGTGTACTGGATAAAAAAAGACGGAAACAATTCAATTGAGTCACACTATAGTTTGTATTTGGACTCAAGGCAAATGCTGAAGAAGGCACACAATTCTACAGTCTAGGTCATTTAAAAATATAGATTTCTAACTTAAGTGTTCGATACTTCTAAGTGCTTTGCTATGTGGGTAGCATTTAATTAGCAACTCAGACCACCCTGCCTGATTGGTGTTTTGATTTGTGTTTGTTTTGTTTTAAATTATTTTATTTAACTTTATTTATTTATTTATTTATTTATTTTTAATTTGACCAGAGATTGACAGAAAGAGAAAATAAGAAAAGCAAGCTGCCAGATCCAGGACTCAAACCACAGTTGGCCATGTGGGAGTCCAGTGCCCTTAACCACCATTCCACCTGCCAGCCCCCTGATTGGTGTTTTAATGACATTCTTCCCAGTGATGGGAACTGAGGCTCAGAGAGCTCAGCTGACCTGTTCAGGGTCCTACATATCAGCAACTGAGCGACATCCTCTCAGGTACTCCCGACAGCCCAACCAGTAACTTTCCAGTGACATTTCTGTGATTTATGCACAGTGCTCCTGAATTTCTTGATGTATTGGCATTGAGTGATCTCTAGATGGAGTCTCTCCATGTAGGATTACTCAGGGGCTGTGTGTGGATCCTCCATTAACAGCAGTCAGTGACATTTACTGAGAGCATACCCTGCAGCAGGCAGGTACTCAGGACTCAATGGAGTAGGATTTGCTCTTTCTACTTTAGGTTCAGGAAACTGAGGCACACAGTGGTTAGGGATATGCCCAAGGACTCATAGCTGGTAAGTGGCAGAGCCAGATTGGAAACTAAGGCTGAGTGATACTATGTAAGAATCACCCAAGGTACCACCTTGCCTAGTGGTTCTGATTCCTGTGTGGGGCCCAGGAATGTGTGCTGTGGCACACACCCGTATAAGGAAACCCATAGCTTTCCAATGAGCATGCCTTATTTTCCTGGCAAAGACATAAGTCATTCATGGATTCATTAGTGTATTCACTTGTTCTGCAAACATTTCCCAGGTGACTTCCATCATGTAGTCTGACTCTAAAGTTATTTATTTATTTATTCCACATGTGAGACAGAGAGAGAGAATACCTCAATAGGGTCTTGATACCAGAATGCATCCCTACCACTGCCAGCCCTTCATGGGCAGGTGCATGGCCAGTGTACTCAGGGAGTCCTCCAGGTGTGAACCTGGAACCTTCTCATGTGGGTCAGCCTCACAGAGCCTTGGGTTGTGCTGCTGCTCCACTGTCCAGCCCATTGCCTCCAGAATTTAACCACTGTATCTCACTGTCTGTCTTCACTATACAATGAAGATCTATTGCTGTTTTGCAGTGGAGGCATCACTTGGAACGCAATTCAACAAGGAAATTGAGGTCTTTAACCCACTCCCAACTTCGGCAGCATCCAGTGGATTGTGGACTCATTCCTTATTTGCCTTTATACCCTCATGGCCCAAGAAGACCTTGTTTAAAAGAGAGTCTCCTGCAACCCAGCACCTGGTAAGTAACCAGTTTAGTAAACATTGACAACAATATCAGAAGTTGTAAAGAAACCAATTTTGAGCCATCTGTGTATAAAAAGCCAAAGGTTTTTGTTCTTCTCTTTCACTGGATATAGTTATCACGGGGCAGCAAAGTCATTTATCTTTGCAAAGTGCGTTTTCTGCTGTATGGCCTATAGTATTTAGATGAGCAGGAGGTTCGTATCAGAGCTTGTGACGGCATCACGCCAGTCTCTGTCTCCATTTGCTCTTGGCCTTCTGGTCCGTGTCTATCTTCTCAGTGTGTCACTTACATTTGTTACATGTATGGCACACCTAGTCAATCCAGAGTGAGTTTATCCTGAGATCCTTAGCTTTATTACACCTGAAAAGATCCCTTTTTCAAATATGGCCACAGTCACAGATTCCAGAGGCAGGATATGGGTATGTCTTTGGGAGGAGGACATCATTTCACCCACCATACTGGTCTTTGTTCTTTACAGTCCCTTGAGTCATAGGATTCGTTACCCCACATAGCAGTACCCTCTGTGCTCAGTCACCTCCCCTGCATTTATTTGCTCGACAAACTATGTATTAGTTATTTGCAGGATTCTATATGAGGATCAGAAGCAAAGCCAGGTCCCTGCTCGTGGAGTCTGGCTAAGGTTTCTGCACATTGTGGTGTGTTCTTTGGGAAATTTCTTCCCCACTCTGAATCTTTGCTCATGTGATGCACAATAAGAAGGTTACACTGTGAAGAGGTGATCTACACTGGGGAAGCATCACAGAATTTGAAGTCATGCAGGGTAGAATTCCAAGGTTTGTGTCTCTGGGACCGTGGGCCTTAGCGTCCTCCTCTGTAGAACGGGTGGGGTAAAGTTCGTACGTAAAGTGACGGCTGTAATGCCTGCACTCGGTACATGGCAGCCATTGCTGTGATTATTACCACTGAGAGCTGTGACGCCTGGGACTCAGAATATGGCTTATCTCTCTGTGGGTGACAGGGGAGCAAGACGGAGAGTGGAGGAGGCATGGTCATCCCAGTGAGGGGAGCCAGGCAGAGCATTCTTGCTGAGAGGAGGGTCCAGTGCAGTGTAGATACTGTGTATTAACATTGACATACAGCAAATTCTAAAGGGAGCCACTTCACAGGATCCAGGACACTGGGGTCAAGGGGACTAGTGGGGATGGAGGTGAACAGATACTGGTTGCAATTATGAGGGGAACTGAAACCTGGGGTTTCCAGACCTTGGGAGGCAGCATTTGATAGATGAGCCCTGACTTTCTTTTGGCTCCTTTTCCAAGGGAGCCCTAGGGTGGCAGGGCAGAGGAGGCCAAACCCAGGGGATGTCTATGCTGATGAATCCAGCTCCTGGAAGGAGAGGCCATCACACCGCCATGCCACTTGTTCCATTCAGACCCCGCCAAGGGTGCCTGGGGCTGTTGGCCATACACCCGAGGCACCAGGACCTGCTCTGCCCTCATTCCCATAGCTCTCTTGCTGGCATGTCATCCTTGGTGTGCTAGTTCCCTGTGACAACGGTGTCCTTCACATGTACCCCCAGACCAGGACTAAGCTACAGGGTAATCTCACATGCACATTATTCTTTTCTCATAGATTTTAATTTCCAGTCCTTTAATGTTCTATGGAAAACAAACAAACAAACAAACAAAAAAATAAGATTACTTGAAACAGGGATTAGCAGAAGGGATCCCCGTATCCTTCTTTTAAAAGAGTAGCATTGAAATAAGCCGGCACTTGGTGCTTGGGAGCAACTTTGAGACTTTCTGCACACCATTGCCCACCACTCCAGTAGCCTGAGCTTGCCTGGCAGCCAGAATACTTACACCTGGTCCGGGCCGGCCTCCTTGAGTGAGCCTGTGCTCGGAACTGGGGAGTTATGTTGGGACTTCCGATACACCAACCTGTAGGGCAGAACTTGACCCTCTTCACTAAGTTATATCTTTTTAGCTTGCTACCACCTCATCTAGACCTGAACATTTGGCAGAGGACCCAAGCATTTGAAGTTACCCCTAATTGTTTTAACCTGGGAGACAGAGCCCTTCCCACACCTGGGAACTAAGTGTGTAATTTCCTCTACCAGTACTACAGAATCTACTCCAATAAATAAAGAACAGTGAATACTAACTACAAATCAGCACAGATCTCAAAAAAACATGAGAAAAAAGGTGGTAACTCTCCCCCAGGTGAGCAGAGTAGCTCCTCACCAACAGTGGATAGCCCAGAGAAATACACAGAAATGTCCAGTGCAGTGTAGATACTGTGTATTAACATTGACATACAGCAAATTCTAAAGGGAGCCACTTCACAGGATCCAGGACACTGGGGTCAAGGGGACTAGTGGGGATGGAGGTGAACAGATACTGGTTGCAATTATGAGGGGAACTGAAACCTGGGGTTTCCAGACCTTGGGAGGCAGCATTTGATAGATGAGCCCTGACTTTCTTTTGGCTCCTTTTCCAAGGGAGCCCTAGGGTGGCAGGGCAGAGGAGGCCAAACCCAGGGGATGTCTATGCTGATGAATCCAGCTCCTGGAAGGAGAGGCCATCACACCGCCATGCCACTTGTTCCATTCAGACCCCGCCAAGGGTGCCTGGGGCTGTTGGCCATACACCCGAGGCACCAGGACCTGCTCTGCCCTCATTCCCATAGCTCTCTTGCTGGCATGTCATCCTTGGTGTGCTAGTTCCCTGTGACAACGGTGTCCTTCACATGTACCCCCAGACCAGGACTAAGCTACAGGGTAATCTCACATGCACATTATTCTTTTCTCATAGATTTTAATTTCCAGTCCTTTAATGTTCTATGGAAAACAAACAAACAAACAAACAAAAAAATAAGATTACTTGAAACAGGGATTAGCAGAAGGGATCCCCGTATCCTTCTTTTAAAAGAGTAGCATTGAAATAAGCCGGCACTTGGTGCTTGGGAGCAACTTTGAGACTTTCTGCACACCATTGCCCACCACTCCAGTAGCCTGAGCTTGCCTGGCAGCCAGAATACTTACACCTGGTCCGGGCCGGCCTCCTTGAGTGAGCCTGTGCTCGGAACTGGGGAGTTATGTTGGGACTTCCGATACACCAACCTGTAGGGCAGAACTTGACCCTCTTCACTAAGTTATATCTTTTTAGCTTGCTACCACCTCATCTAGACCTGAACATTTGGCAGAGGACCCAAGCATTTGAAGTTACCCCTAATTGTTTTAACCTGGGAGACAGAGCCCTTCCCACACCTGGGAACTAAGTGTGTAATTTCCTCTACCAGTACTACAGAATCTACTCCAATAAATAAAGAACAGTGAATACTAACTACAAATCAGCACAGATCTCAAAAAAACATGAGAAAAAAGGTGGTAACTCTCCCCCAGGTGAGCAGAGTAGCTCCTCACCAACAGTGGATAGCCCAGAGAAATACACAGAAATGTCAGAAAAAGGATTCCAAATATTCTTAGTGATAAAACTTAGTGAGATGCAGGAGAAAACAGACAGTTACAGAAAGTGAGTATCATTTCAGGACATGAAATAAGAATTCTGCAAAGAAGGGACCAGCAGTTAGTGTAATGGCTATGTCACTGGACTCCCACGTAGTCAACTGCGGTTCGAGTCCCAGACCCGGTGGCTTAAACTCACGCCGGGCGCGTGTGCGTGCGTGCCCAAGAACCCGAGAGGAGAATGGAGGAGAAGGGATTGCGACGTGGCCATTCCCCCTGGGGAGGTGATTTCTTGCTTTCTATCTATCTGTCTCTGTCTGGTGAGCGCACGCTCCCTATAACAAAATCCTCTCCAAAAGAAGAAGAAGAAGAAAAAAAGAATTAGATACCCTAAAAAAGAATCAAACAGAACTTCTGGAAATGAAGAATACAATACAAGAAATTAAAGTCTCCCTAGAAAGCATTAACAGCAGGTTGGGCCATGCAGAAGAAAGAATTTCTGACCTGGAAGACAAAGTCTCCAACATAGACTAAATCATCAAAAAGAAAGAAAAACAACAACAAAAATAAATAAGTGCAACATACGGGAGATTTGAGACACCATGAAACATCCAAATATCTATATAATGGGTATTCCAGAAGATGAAGAATATGCTAAAGGCATGAAAAACCTCTTTCATTCAATACTATCTGAAAAATTTCCAAATATAGAGAGACATGGAGAAATTCAGACCCAAGAAATAAACCCCAAAATAGAGTCAACATGAGAAGATCCTTCCCCAGGCACAACATAGCCAGATTGGTAAAAAGTTAAAGACAAAGACATTATTCTTAAAATGGCAAGGGAGAGGGTCGTCAGGTGACATGGTAGTTGAGGGCTCTGGACTCCAACATGGCCAACTGCAGTTTGAGTCCTTGACCTGGCAGATTGCTTTCTCACTTTCTCTCTCTCTCATTCTGACCCTCGCTGGTCAAATTAAAATAAGTAAATAAATAAAGTTAAAACTATTTCTTTAAAAAAATGGCAAGGGAGAAATGTCAAGTTACTTATAAAGGCTATCCTGTTAGGCTAAAGTCAGACCTCTTGACCAAGACAATGCAGGCAAGGAAAGAATGGGAAAATATATTCAATACATTAAAAGAAAAACAATTTTAACCAAGAATACTATATCAAGATTATCTTTCAAATGGGAAGAACAAATAAAAGTATTCTCAGATAAACAAAAAACTGAAAGAATTCGCCAATAATAGACCAAGTCTATAGGAAGTACGGAGGGGAGTGTTACATCAGGATAACTAAAGAGAGACAAACAGAAACAGGAGAACAAAAAACAACTGAGAAACTGGTTCACAAAAATGACAGGGATGAATCTGCAGAAATCAATAACATTGAATGTTAATAGATTAAATATTTCCATTAAAAGAAACAGACTGGCTGAATGGATACAAAAACAGAAGCCAACTATATGCTGCTTACAAGAAACACACCTCACTGATATGAACATACATAAACTGAAAGTGAAGGGCTAGACAAAGATATTCCGTGTAAATGGAAACAGCAACAACAAAAAAGGCTAGCGTAGCAATATTGGAATCAGACAATATAGACTTTAAGATGAAAGGTGTAAAAAGAGAAAAAGAAGGACCTTATACAGGACTACAAGGACTTGCTCACTAAGAAAATAGAACGCTTGGAAATATCCATGCACCCAACCCTAGAAAACCTAAATACATCAAAGAGAGGCTGTTAGATCTAGGGAGAGATGGACAGCAACACAGTAATTGTAAGACATCTCAACACCCCACTGACTCCTCTAGACAAAAAATAAACAGATACAAGAGCTAAATGATACCATACATGAAATGGGTTTGACAGACCTCTACAGAGTATTTGGCTCTACTACCACAAAATATACATTTTTCTCACCCCTACATGAAACATTTTTTAAGACTGACCACATGATAGAACACAAAACAAGCCTTTACAAATTCAAAGATATAGAAACTATAGCATTTTTTCCAACCACGATGGAATCAAACTTGAAATCAACTACAGAAAGAGTCCTTGAAAATTCACAAACACATGGAAACTAAACAACCTACTTCTGAATGACTTTCAAACTATAGAAGAAATTAAGACTGAAAGGTTAAGAAAAGGTTCATGGAAACCAATGATAATGAACAAACAAGTGTGTATAACCTATGGGATACAGCAAAAGCTGTCATAGCAATTAGTGCCCATAAAACAAACAAACAAACAAACAAACAAACAAAAACCCAAAAACCAGAAAGGTGGCAAGTAAATAGCCTAATGACACAACTCAGGGAACTGGAAAGACAGAAAAAAAAATTCCAGGAGAAAAGAAATAATAAAGATTTAAGTAGAAATAAAATGAGATAGAGAATAAAAGAACTATACAAAAGATAAATGAAACCAAAAGCTGGTTCTTTGAGAAGATAAGCAAAGTTGACACACTGTTAGCTAGATTAATCAAGAAGAACAGAGAACTGAACCAGATAAATCAAATCAGCAAGGAAACAGGCATTATTACTACACAGGCAATATTGCAATGGACATAACAGGAATACAAAACATCATCATATGAGGGATTATACACCCACAAACAAGAAAACCTAGACAAGATGGACAAATGTCTAGACATGTGTAGTTTACCAAGATTGAATCAGGAAGAAATAGAAAGTCTGAATAGACCCATAACAAGCAATGAAATTGAATCAGTAATAAAAAGTCTCCCAACAAGGGAGAGTCCGGGTCCCGATGGCTTTACTACTGAATTCTACAAAACCTTTAAAGAAGAACTAACCCCAAATTCTCCTTAAACTATTTCTAAAAATTTGAAAGGAAGGAACCCTCCTGAATTCTTTCTATAAAGCTTTCATCATCTCAATTCCAAAACCAGACAAGGACATGACAAAAAAAAGAACCTTCAGGCCCATATCCCTGATTAATACAGATGCAAAAATTCTCAGCAAGATATTAGCAATGACATATTAAAAAGATTATACATTATGAGCAAGTAGGTTTTATTCCAGGGATGTAAGGATGGTTCGACATATGCATAACAATAAATGTGATACATCACATTAACAAAAGAAAAGATAAAAACCGTATCATCGTATCAATCAATACAGAAAAAGCGTTTGACAAAATACAGCATCCCTTCATGATTAAGACTCCCAGCAAATTTGGTATTGAAGGAACATTCCTCAAAACAATAAAAGCCATCTATGAAAAACTCATAGCTAACATTATACTGAATGGGGAAAGCTGAAAACTGGAACAAGACAAGGCTGTATGCTTTCTCCATTCCTTTTTAACATAATACTGGAGGTTTTAGCCAATGCAGTTAGACGAGAGTCAAATAAAAGGCCTCCAAATAGGGAACGAAGAAG